TCTTCAGCAAGTTCCATGCCTGTATTGCCTCCTGGCAGTTTGTCATACTGTTGTGATAACAATTGCTGAACGAGGAGCTATGGCATAGCTAATTTTGACACTGTTGTCACTGTTGTGGATTGTAGAGCAGGCATCAGTATGTTTATGCAGCAAAGGATGCTCGTGCTTACATCTTCTGGGCTAAATAGTGAGTCAAAGAAACGTGTCCTGCATTGGTTTTGCCCAGTTCACATTAGGAAATTTCATCCTACAGCTGACATTCTTGTGAATCTAACGAACGAAAGCTGATATCATTCTAATATATCTAACTTTTGGTGAGTCTTAGAAGACCCTTCATGTTTGTAAGTATTCAGAATTTCATTCACCTGGTTTGAAAGCCTGCATCAATCCAATTGATATCAAATAAATTCATGCAAAAAAAAGTTCATACCTGGGCTGAGATTTTTAGTGAGAAATATATTCATCTTTTTGCAGATAAACCTTGTGATTTGCCACACATAGAAAATGGACAGATTGCCCAGTACTATTATAATTTCAAAAGTTACTATTTCCCAATGCTTAAGGAGAAAAAACTCTCCTATTCTTGTATGGTGGGTTATACAACTGAAACTGGGACTCAAGATGGAAGAATAACTTGTACAGTGAACGGATGGTCTCCAGTGCCACAGTGCTACAGTGAGTTAGCTTTATTAACCTCGTCATCGCTTCTAGCAGGAAACTCTTCTACCTGGATTTCCTTGAACAGGAGCAGCAGCTGCATAGCAAGAGGGATAAAGTGTGCAAGTTAGAACAATAAGGTGAAATCAATCCTTCATGTATACAAACTATCCATGTTTATATATGGAATATTTTTACAATAATGCATACTTTAAGGGCTTTATTCATAAATGTTTTCATAAGAAATCCAAGAAAGTTGCCCAGTTTCCTCATTTTGGGAAAACTAATGGATAATTTCCTCTCAGCTGTATATTGTCTAGAGCCTCCTTAGCTCTAGATTTCTTGGTTGGTGTGTTCCATGTTATTCCCATTGGTTTGATGTATTTTTTGATTATTGTGGCAGAGTTTCTTCAATATGTCCAGAAAAGAAGATTAGATCAGGATAGCTAAAAAAACCCTTGCTTATCAGAGAATAAAAATATTCCATTAATTGTTTCCTTCTAACAAAGCTGTCTCCTTTCTTTTAGAAAAATGTAACAAACCTCTTCTGGAAAATGGCTTTTTTTACGGTACAGAAATGTACTTCAAAATACAGGAGAAACTGCAATACAAATGTCACCCGGGCTACCACGCTCCAAACGGTGGCACTGAAGATACAGTGCAATGTCGGCCAGAAGGATGGTCCTCCCTGCCAAGCTGCACTAAAAAATTTGGTAGGATTCTACATTTCTCTCCTTTACAATCTGTCTTACATACATATAATTCTGCTGTTCTTGCGGTACCCGTAGGCCAAACTGCCTATGTTAGGTTATCATTTGAATTCTTCTAAAGTGGGTTGTCAGCCATACCTCTTGCAATGAAGTTGTCAGATTTCACATGCTGCTTGTTATATGAATTGGTGTAGATAAAATTATATTAGAAGGAATCGGTATAGATGAAATCGCATTGTTTCAAATAAATCTGTTGCCATCCAGACTTTCTTCCCAAATGAAGACTGGAAAACTTGTGTAAACTATCACACTTTTACTTATTCATTACTTGCAAAGATTTTTGCTGCAGATATGACCACTTTTAAGGTATATCTAAGGAAAATTTTAGATTAATAACTTGAAAAGAGTGATTAATATTATGTATATGCTTTATTTATTTAAGAGTCGTGTCAAGTACCCAATTTACATCACGGCAGCTACTTCACAGCCCAACAAGAGCTTCAATTGAATGAAACGCTGCTGTACAAATGTGATGAGGGATATCATACTGCAGGAGGAAACACTACAGAAGCTGCAGTGTGTCTAACACATGGGTGGTCCCGGACTCCAAACTGCACTAGTATGTAATGGTCTGGAAAATAATTCTGTTTCAAATGTGATTTATTCTACAGATGAACAAAATTTTACAAAAAGGTTTGTTTTATAAGCTGTTGGGGTGGAGGAAATCTTCCTCAGCTGGTTTTCACTGCAGCTTGCTTTCTCCCTAGAAAAAACTTGCTCTTCTTTGAGTGCAATAGCACACGGAGGCTTCTATCCTGTGAAGAAAAGCTACGAAGAGGGAGATGTAGTTCACTTTTTCTGTGAGGAAAACTATTCTGTCAGTGAATTTGACCTCATTCAATGTTATTATTTTGGATGGCATCCAGAGCCTCCCATGTGTGAAGGTACCTTATTTTTATAGTTTTGCCATGTCAAATTCTTAGTGAAATACTAGCACCTTCTTTCACAAAATGCTTTACAAATTTGGAATAAAAATATGCTTTTTATACCAGTTCACAGCCTAAATAGAAATCAGGTGGTAGCTGAAGGACATGGAGCCAAGGTAGCAGGGGGGAGGCAATGAGAATTGGAATTAGTTTTCAGTGGACTCTAACAATAGAGCAGACACTGTCTCTTGCTGTTGTTTCTCTGTACGTTGTACCCTGGAATCAACAATTACAGGGAAGTTATCCAGACCCTGAAGCTCAAGTTAAACCATGTTCAGATTACTTGAAGGTTTAATCAAGCATGTTTAATCCCACCTTGCGAGGTGGGAACATGCCTCTTGAGAGGCATTAAGAATTGGGATCAGGGCTTGTGGTACTTTTCAGAGTTTTACAGCCTCACCAAACTGTACATGTTTTCAACAGAATTAACTAGAAGGGTTATCCTGAGGCTGGAAACACACCTCTAGCAATTACTATCACTTCCCCAGTCAATGGGGGATAACAGAGATTCTCAGAAAAGAAACTTTTGAAAGAATGAAAGGTCTAGTGAACCAGATGAGATATAGCACACAGCAGAAAACAATACAAATCGACACTTATGCTAGCTGAGAATTTATAATGTTGTTCAACATACCTTAATAATTGTGGGTCATTGTTTTATCTGGATAGTGACCCTTTTATGAGGATTACTTCTAAGCTTTAGGAGATCATGCTGCCTCATGGTAACAAATTCTCTGCTTTATATACAAGGGATGCCAGGTGTTGATGACGGAGGATGGGTCAATCAGTCATTTTTATTGGTTTAAGCTGAATCTGTGGTAGTCTTTTCCAATATATTTTTACAGGAATTTTTCCTGTGAAGTGTGTTTTCTAAAGCAAATTTAATAATCATTGTGGGGGGGGGTGCTTGAGATTAAAAAAAAAATTATATTTATCCCTTAAAAATATAGATGTGTTAAGCACAGTTTTCAGTAAAATTAGTGTTTTGTAATTCCTTTATAGCTAATCTTGTGGAAGACTGTGATTGAGTAGAAAGATGAAATTCATCTTCCTTTTGTAGAATATAAAGTAGGGCACTAGAATCTCTGAATTAAATGCTGTGTGTTAGGACCTGTATTTATTCTGATGACACAGAATTTTTTCAGGAATTTTTCTTGAGTAGAGCACAGAGAAGGTGGGGTGCTCAGGAGAATGCAAACATGGCCTAAATCCAATTTTGAGGATACAGTAATCACAAACTCAATTTGGGGATAGGAAATAGGCTATGATTATTGCTGCTTCTGTAGCATTAGAAGTAATACATAAGCTGCTTTAAATATTATATCAATGGAGGGTATGGGAAATCTCTATTTCCTGAAGTCCTTTAAAGCACGTTTCATTGAGTGTATGTGGAGAAATTACAAATTTGTTTATAGCAGAGCAATAGCATAATATCTCTTATTTTATATTTGTTGAATGTAAAACCACTTTTTTGTTCTGGTCTCCCATTTTGTTAAGAAAATGGGAGTAAACAATTATTCTGGAACAACCAAAAATGTCTTTTGAGGGCAGTCTTGATAGACTTGCATGCTGTATAGTAAAATTAATTGTGTTGTGGACTTTGTTTTGATTAGTGAGAAAACAATATGCATTTTTTATTTTCAGAGGTAAAAAATAAGTGTCCACCACCACCGCTTCCTCCTCATGCGCATATCATCACAGTTAGAAGAACATACCATAATGGAGACAAAGTTCACATACAGTGTCAAAGTACCTTTGAAATGCGAGGATCTGAGGAAATCCAGTGTGAAAAAGGAAAATGGACATCACCCCCTATTTGTATTGGTTAGTACTTTTGTGAAGACTGGCAACTGAACAGAAACGATTCTTCAAACAATACCTTCATTTTCTGGAGAGCATCAGTTTCCATATCTGCAAAATGTTTATGTCGTCCTCTGTTAAAATGCTTGAGAGGTAAAGTGCTGCATAACTGGCAGACGATCCATTGTTCACAGGTTAAAAGGAAGGGATGAGCCAGGTGAATTCAACTGACATCCGTGACGTGTAGTTCTCCCCTGGAACACTGATTTTATTACTTCTTACAACGCTTCAGTGTCTGTCTGTTTTGGTATTTGAAAATGAGTTGTTTCTGAGAAAACTGGTTCTAAGTTTCTGCTATCCTTACAGGAACTATGGATAAACAGGAATCTGAGGCACCACCATCACTTGAGGCAGATGCAGCCACAAGGGCAAGCAAAACATATCACAGTGAAGATATGAGTAGGTGAACATTGCTTTTCTGTTTAAAAGGAACTTCAATATTCTCCAATGCTATTATAGGCATTTTTGCAATGGCTCTTAATACTCTTTTGCTACAGTACAGTTCCTTACTCTCGAAAATGTTTGTGCTTGCTACAGATGTCAATGTAGCAGTCTGACAATGAATGAAAGGCCGTTGTTGCTTGTGTCTAGTGATTATAAACTACAGCTGTAAGCCTGTGCTTGTAATTTTATTTCATATGCTAGCATTTACATTCAGTCATTTTGTACCCCTTCTTTTAATGTTGTCTGAACGTGCAAATTCAGGAGTGTTGTGCTGATTCTTTGCTTAATAGTTCCAGTGAGGTTTCTTTTGTTTATTTTGAACTACACATGGACTAAACATTTCAAGCAACAAATAAAGACAGTCTCATCACAGAAAAAGAACTAATCTGTATTGCGTGTAAACCAGCAAGAGTCAAATGTGGACATAGATGAGAAGTGTAGAGAATGCCTGTCTGCAATTTGGTAAGGCAAGTGTAGAGTTTCTGAAAACAAAATTTGGAAAAGAAATTATATTAATTTCCATTTTATTTGTATGTAAATTTTTGCTCAGTCCATTGCTAGTCTGATACTTTTGCCAGTGTTAATGTTGTTTTAGTGATCTAATTATCTATCTCCCTATCTCGTATTAGAAATGCAGCAAAACTGTACCTCCCCACCTGTGATTAAAAATGGTGCTGTTCTTGGTCCATTATTGACAAGTTACAAAAACGGTTCCTCGGTAGAATATGGCTGTCAGCGTTATCATTTTTTAGACGGACCTAGTACTGTTTACTGTGACCAAGGAAACTGGACAGAACAACCAACTTGCTTAGGTAAGTCTCATAAGAAAAAGGAAGTTTTATCATATGTAATATAGAAAAGTAAAACTGGAAAGAACTTCTAGATAATCCTTTCATGACCACCTTTTCCCTTTCATTGAAGTTAATAAAGATTCCAGAAACATGAGGATGAACCAAACCCAAATATACCTAGGCCACTCCTGCTGGATGTCCTTGGGCCTGCTTTTCTAGGTGTCCTTGGGCCTGCCTCTGCTTTCCTGAGTGAGCCATTCTCGAACGTCGCTATCCCTGTTACCTAGGAGGATTCTCTAATTTCTTTCTCCGTATTCTCCATTCAGTTAATTTCTTCCTGTCTTTCAGTAGATGTTTAGAAAGAATTACTGCGGCCATTGCCAAAATGGTTTTTAGATATGATTAGCAAGGAATACAATGACTTCTGGGGCTTTCATTTTTAAACCTTCAGCTTTTGTTTTTGTTATGTGTCTTTATATCTATTATTTCATTCTAGACTTTCTAACTTTTCTGTGTTATTCTCATGTTTGCTGTTCAAAACAGCGTATAGAACTCCCATTAGGAATTTACCAATACTAGCAGGAATACTACTTCTGATCATCTACAAGAGTTGTTTGTTTATCTTTTCCTTCCTTCCTGTAATGAAATAATTCTATTTTACTAGCATCCTTTGTTAAATTGACTCACTTTAAGTTTGTAATCTACTGTGAAAATGCAAATAGATAACCAGTTCAATTTTAATTGCTTATTTCTAGATGAATAAAATGTACCTCATCTGGATTGAAAGGTCCAGGTCAGCATTCTTTGATCTGAATACTCAAATTCAACAAATCCTGTGAAATAATGAAAACTCATTTCCTATGAGTGTTATTTGTCTCCTAAGCATCCAAATAACCATTATCGTTCCCATGTTTTCTGAGATTTCTTTTCAACCCTCACCTAATCAGACCAAAAAGAGCACATACTGTAGTTAGTTTCAGGAAAATATCCATACCGATTTGTTGTTATCGTGCTGTCATCAAAATGCATAATAACTGATTTCTCCTTGCCTTTCCTTCAGCAAAGCATTAATGTTGGGAAATGATTCTTGTGGGACTTGTAGAAATTTATTTTTGTAATTGTCCCTCTGTCAGGCTTTATTGAAGTTGAATCATGGTTTCAAAAGTTAATGAGGTTAACTGTCTAATGGAAAGCAAAGCTACTTGATGTGAGCCTGGCGATAAAGAAACTTGTCAGAAAGCAACCAACATAATATTGACCTTGAATAACCTGAAAAAGCCCAAAGATGAACACAAAACTTCCAAAAGGTTTTCGGAATATCTCTACATTCTTTTACTGGTGACAAAACAGAGAAAAAAAGCAAAGAAAGGGAATTGTCAAAACACTTCCTTTGGCTAACAGTTTAAAATAAACTATTTAAATTAAATAAACTACTACTATCCTCGAAGGGCTTACCAAACCTGTCAGCCAAATCTGACAGGTTAGTTTTGATGGATGACTATTTTCTTTATAAAAATCCTTTCAGGTTACAGTAAAAAAGTTCTTTTCATCTTCAGTGGTAAACCCAGGCTGCCGTACATTTACAAACACTTGTAAAAACCAGATTTTGTCAGAAGTGTGTTTTCTGTGATTTACTGTTCCCAGTTGAGGCTTATTTTTGCATATTATTTCTGTTACTTCATCCCATTTCTTTACATTTGCATTCTTTTTTTTATGCACCTATAGTTCTTTTTCTTGCAAGATTCGAAAACATGTTAGAAGTATTGATATAGAGTTATCGTTGTGACCCCTACAAAAGGGAGCTAAGAAATGACTTAAGGTTGCTTTTTATTGAAGTACACTTTTATTTCCTAGAACCGTGCACTCTTAATGTAACTGATATGAACAACAACAACATAGACTTGAAATGGAGGCAGGAAGAAATAATTTTCCTACATGGTGATCTCATAGAGTTTGAATGTAAGCAGGGATACAGTTTTCTCCGGACTACCATTCCATCTCCTGGGAGGACACGATGTAACCGCGGCAGACTGAAATATCCAAAATGCATTATGCAAGGTAAAACAATGCTTTTCTTATTGGCTTTTTAATTAATCAATCTCAGACCTATTTAGAAACAACCTGGTTTGGCAGTGCAGGCCTAGAATCTGTTGTAAATAATAGATGGTTGAGCTTTAACACTACAGACACACACAGATATCCCTGTACAAGACAGCTATATTGTTAAATATATCCAAGCGTAGAAAAACAATCCAGCTTCCTTTGATGGGGAAGGCTGTGGAAAGGAGGGAGGAGCTGTGCTCCAAGCCCAGGGAACTCACAGCTCTGTAGAAAGACGGCTGTAAACAATTCAATGCACACAAGGATTTCTTATGGCTAGAATAAAGCATAAGATTGCATTCTGATCGGAGACATAATGCAATAGCAAGAAAATACACTGAGTTGATAGATATCTAAAGCTACTGCTTGGCTAGCTTCTTAAGCTGAATGTTTCTCAAATGTTTTTTAATGTTATTCCAGCTCCAACTGAAAAATGTGGCTCTCCACCTTCTGTTGTGAACGGAGCCCTTACTCTCCCACCCCTGACCCAATATGACAGCGGTTCTTCAGTTCAGTATAGTTGCTCTGACTATCATTTTTTGCAAGGATCTGAGAGAATCTACTGTTCCGAAGGACAGTGGACTTCACCACCAGTTTGTATAGGTAGGTGTGATAAGAGAAATAAGCACTCATTTCTCTCTATAATTCATTGAATCATAGAATGGTTTGGGTTGGAAGGGACCTTTAAAGATCATCTAGTTCAACCCCCCCTGCACTGACCATCTTAACTAGGTCAGGCTGCTCAGAGCCCCATCCAACCTGACCTTGAATGTTTCCAGGGATGGGGCATCTACCACCTCTCTGGGCAACCTGTGCCAGTGCCTCAGCACCCTCTTCCTTATACCTAACCTAAATCTCCCCTCCTTCAGCTTAAGGCCATTCCCCCTTGTCCTATCACTCCGTGCCCTTGTAAACAGTCCCTCTCCAGATTTCCTGTAGGCACCTTCAGGTACTGGAAGGCTGCTATAAGGTCTCCCCCGAGCCTTCTCTTCTGCTGGCTGAACAATGCCAGCTCTCTCTAAATTCTGATACTTAGAATCTATAAATTCAATATTGTCAGCTAGAACTTTAAGATCTCAACTTTGTATTTTTCAGCTAGAGATGAAAGTTTTAATAGAAGCTAGTGCAAGCTTGTCTGGGGTTTTTTCTTTTTTTCTTTCCCTTAAATATGACATGCCTGCAGTATCCAAAAATACAGTGATTTCATGTAGAGTAAGAGAATGGGAAATAATCTACAGGTTTAGCGTAGACTGGTCAAAATGATGCGGTTTCAAAAATAATTGATTTACTGGCACTGATTATGTCTCTCTTCTTTAGAGCCATGTACTTTGTCAAAAAATGAAATGGAGAAAAATAATGTGCTGCTGCAAGCATTCTATGTGAATCAAGTTTACTTTTACCATGGGGATTATGTTGGATTTTACTGTAAGCAGAACCATTTTGGAGCAGAATCCGGTAAAACTTTATTTCAAGTGCAGTGTAACAGAGGACAGCTGATGTATCCAAGATGTGTTGAAAGAGGAAAATAAGTATGGACTTCAGGAAAGCCTATAGAAAAGGTATGTACATTTTCTTTCTTTGATATTAACAGCTGAATTAAGATGCCTCGTATTTTCAAGATCACGCCAGTCAGCTCTGAGAAATGAGTGTTCAGCGGCAGAGGGAGGGAAGTGGAAGTGCTTTGTGGTGTGAGGACTGGGAATGCAGCAGAAGAATGAAATATTGGCGTACGCGTGGAAAACTTCAGATGAAGGAGATCTACAAGACTTACAGTGCTAAACTTGGGGATGCATCACAATCTGGAGGACTTGAGCAAAGCACCATGATGAGGAGAGGCTGAGCAAGTAGTGCCCTTTGAGGATATTGTTGGTTTTGGTAGCTTTTGTGACTCCAGAATATAGCTAAATTGAGATTTAATTTCATGCCCTTCAAGGTTGTGATGTTAAATGATGTTAAACTCTAATTTTACAGAGAGAAAGGAGAGGCTTGGGTTTTGTACATCTTAACAGCACCCATGTCTCCTTTCACAGGTAAAAAGCCTCTAAAGGACAAGGCTTGAGGGACAAGAAAAAAAAAAGCAAGTATTAAATAAAAAAAAAATTGTGTTTAATGGATGTATGAAACCATTTAAAAGCCTAAAAATATGCAAACTCTACTCAGTAGTTAATCATTATTCTTAAAACAAAAAAAAGTCAAGAAAGTGTCTTTGTTTTGTTATTTGAGAACATTTAAACTATTAAAATATCTAGTCCAACTACTTTGTATGATTTCCTATGACGCTTAAACATTGGGACTCTTGGGGCTCTGCCTTTGAACGTGTTGTGTGACTGAAGATACGAAGACAATTCAGGAATACAATGTTTGCCTTGCATCCATTTTAGTATATTTTAATACAAAAAGTCACTGTAAAGGTCTCTTCTGTATTTTATCTCAAAACATGAACAATGATTGTAATGCGAATTGCTAAG